CACACACTCACTAAGAGAGGGTTTAGGAGAGTTGGCAAGGCTCAAAAACGTGTGTCTAAGTCAGTAGAATCAGCAACCTCCAAAGGTGGAGGCTTGGGGGTATTTATAGCCCCCTTGAAAAACTAGCCGCTTTATAGTCGTTGCAATACTGGGACACGTCCGGTATGAATACCGGACACGTCCGGTATGACTCGAGATAATGCAAACGTAACTAAATTACATGATGTTGTGAGGCATCGGAACTCCCGAAGAATGCCGGGACTTCCGACCGTCGAACTCCCGACTCAAGTCGGAACCCCCGACCCTCATAATTTTGAAAACATGTAATCGAGTTAAAGTTAGTGAGGTGTCGAACTCCCGACATATGTCGGAACTCCGACCGTCGGAACTCCGACATACGTCGGAACTCCCGACCCTCACGGCTTTTGAAAACTAGCCGCTGGCTTCGGTCATCCATACCGGGACACGTCCGGTATTAATACCGGACACGTCCGGTATGACCAGGACAGAGAACCCTCCAAGTCAGTTGAAGTGCGACACGTCGGAACTCCCGACCCATGCCGGGACTCCCGACCGTCGGAACTCCCGACCTACGTCGGAACTCCCGACTAACCAACCCGAGAACAACAATTTTACATCTGCTGGACAAATACCGGACACGTCCGGTATTGCCAGAGCAGCAACAAATCAGTTAGCTCTTTTGTCTCTCAAATACTCAAAACTCACATGGGTTGGCTTGAGCACTTATGAAACATTATCTATCAACATGATGCATCCCTCTTAATAGTACGGCATACCTATTAAACTCAAGATCAAAAGAAAAATGAATTTATACCACTTGAGTTGATTTCTTTTGAATTGATGCCGCCCTTCCAATCTTCATCAAGTAAGGGTGCTAACAAGTTGATGTTGATCTTTTCATTTGAGCATAGCCATCTTGAGCATGTGACTTGATTCCATTCATCAAATTTGAATAACCCCAAATGTATCAAGTCACTTCCATCAAATACTTCATTATAGATTTGATTCTTCACATCAATATGACCATCTTAGCTTGATTAGTACCTCAACTAAATGCAAGTACTTTCTTCTTCACCCTAGCTAGGTTCTTCGGCCGCCAAGCCGTCGCTTGCCCTTCACCTTTGCTTAGTACCTCGAAGCCTTTCCTTGCTATCTTCACCATCTCAAGCCATCAAGTCACATCTTGTGTTGAATCATCCATTCATATGTATTGTTATCTTTTTCATTTTAATTTAGCAAGCTTCAAATATGAGACCATTCCATATGCAATCCCTCATGTCTCATTAACTAATAATCATGAGCTTGCTTTCACATAGTCAATGGAAATCCCACAAAAAATAAGCCTTCACATGAATTCCATTTGCATTGTTGTCTTGTGCTCGAACTAGATTGTTTATACAACAACACATCATTTTGGCTTTCATTAAGTACCTGTGAGATAACCTATTACCTGTTCACACTTAGCAAACGGGTTAGTCCTTTAATCACGTTGTCATTCAATCATCCAAAATCCACTAAAGGGCTAGATGCACTTTCACAAGCCCTGCTCCGACAGATCAGGGTCGCCGAGGTGCTCCGGGTCCCCTCCGACAAGCCCTGCTCTGCAAAACAAGAAAAACAACACTATAAGTACAAAATTTCGGCAGAACCTCCCCTGTGCGGGGAGGTTTCCAAAACCTGCAAGAAAAAGCCGGCACGATGGTCGACGTCCACATTTCGAGCACGATGGCTCACACAACCATAATCCGGCACGAAGGCCATCAACGACACATCGTCGGTCCGAGGTTCTTCCTCCTCCTCCCTCCTCCTCTTCTTCTTCCTCCTTCCTTCCTTCCTTCTCCTTCTTCTTCTTCCTTTTTCTCTTCTTTTCTCCTCCCCTTCTTTTTCTTCCTCCCTTCTTCCTCCTTCCTCCCTTCTCCTTCTTCCTCTTTCTCTTTCTCCTTGTTCCTTCTTCCTTTTTCTTTCTCCTCCTTGTTCTTCCTCTTCTTCCTGTGGCCGGTTGGGTTGGGGGGGAGAGGGAGCTCGACGGGGACAGAGGGGGGAGCTCGGCGGGGAGAGGAGCCCCGAGCTCCTCACCGGTCGGGCGTGGCGGCAGCAGTCCTCGCCGGCCGGTCGAGCCACTAGCGGGGGGGGGGCATGGGTCAGGCGGGACACGCAAGGGCAGATTGGGTTGGGGGAGAGGGAGCTTGGCGGGATAGAGGGGGAGCTCAGCGGGAGAGGAGCCCCGAGCTCCTCACCCACGGTCAAGCGTGTGGCATGGCCAGTCCTCGCCCTGGCCGGCCGAGCAGCCATGGCGGCCGGCGGGGACACGGACACTGGCCAGCAGACCACTGGCGGGGAGCAGAGAGCTGCACATGGTCAGCGGAGATCTGGCATGTGGCGGAGCGGAGGTGGCGGTGGCGGCAAGAATGGAGACGCGGCGGATGGGGTTAGGGTCGGGCGCGATGGGGATGGGGTTAGGGTTGGGATGGGCTGGCTGGGCCTCTGCCTTTTAATTTTTTTTAAAAAAATGTGTTTGCCGACGGCCACGGCCATGGCCATCGGCAAAGAACCATCACGTGGCGGCCTCAGGGGCCGTCCTGGGCCTCCACCTTGCCGATGGCTACCTGGGCCCGGCCATCGGCAAAGAAACTTTGCCGACGGCCTTCACATGCCGTCGGCAAAGTTTGAATTTTTTTTGTTTTTCAGCCCATTTTTTTCCTGGTGCCTGCCTACATCAAATATAACCCAACTTCAAAAGTTGGGACAATTTTGAGTTTTTTAGCTATATTTCGTTAATTATTTCTGTTTCTTTGCATTTTTCCGGCGACTCCAAATTTGAACTGCAGGTACATGAAATAATGGGATTTTTTTATTCGAAAGATGGTATTCATGATTCTAGGAGTATGCTGAGTCTGTATCCAGGAGCTCGCATGAAATGACGACCATGTTGGCGTCGTAACATGGGGAGTTACGTGCGTGGAAAGTGTTTTTAAATTATATAAAATCCATACGAAGTCCGAAATTGACGAAACTTGACGAGTTGTGTTGTCATGGCATGTGGAGGCCGTGGTAAAAATTTCAAAAAGTTTCGAGCAAGTGGTGAAGTTGGGTTATATTTGATGTAGGAAGGCACCAGAAAAAAAATGGGCTGAAAAAACAAAAAAAAATTCAAACTATGCCGACGGCATGTTAAGGCCGTCGGCAAAGTAGGTTTGCCGATGGCCAGCCATCGGCATAGACGGTGGGCCCGACAGCTCCTGAGGCGGCCACGTGGCCTGTCTATGCCGATGGCCGCGGCCGTCGGCATAGCCTTCCCTTTTGCCGACGGCCTGACGGCAAGGCCATCGGCAAAGGGCACGGCGTCGGCCAGCGTCGGCCGGAGTCTGCCCTGGGCCAATTTTGCCGATGGTCGGACGTTGCCGATGGCCTGGCCGTCGGCAAAGATTAGTATTTGCCGATGGCTCGGGTTTGCCGATGGCTTTGCCGTCGGCAAAGATCGGCTTTGGCGATGGCCTGTCTTTGCCGATGTCTGGACCGTCGGCAAAATATCTTTGCCGATGGCTCAGCTTTGTCATCGGCAAATCCTGTGGTCTGCCGATGGCTTATTCTCTGGCCATCGGCAAACCTCCCGGCCGTCGGCAAATAAGCCGTTTCCGGTAGTGTGCGTCTCATACGCTACCAGTATACCTACACACACCGGCCATATTGATTTCTGCTCGACCAACATCATATCTGAAATCGAGGCTCGGGTCGATGATATGATGAGGCGGCCAATCCTACAAGTTTGCTCCCTCCCAAGATACACGTACAGCAGCTCCCATGTGACCGATGTCGATCGGATGTGAGACAGCAGTGAGATCGATCGAGTTGAGAAACGAGAATTAATGGTTATAATCGCGATATGTAACTGATAACTGTCATCATTTATAAGAGCCCTATCAGGGTATTCATACGTGATGCGTTAACAATACTATACGCAGACCACTTACAACATCATCATTTATAAGAACCCTATCAGGGTATTACTCTTTTTTATAAAAAATGGTTGAACCTAAAAAAATGACTTTAGACAACTCCAAAAGTTGATCTATTCAGAGAGAAGGGAGTGTTATGGAGATCTATGGATTTTTTTTTGTGTCAATGTAGTATATATTACTGGATGTATCTATGGAAAACCTAGAGGTCGCTCGAGTAATTCGTCAGCAAATTAACTAGATGTATCTTACTGACACCTTAGCCCTACATGTCAGGGCCACATCATCGCATCAGCATGCCACACGGCCGATTTAATACAAGTTCTGAATATTTGGACCTCGCGTGGTACAATTATCAAATTAAAAGTGCCAAAACTATATCTAGGTGTACCGAATATATACCACAAAATATTAATATTTAAGATACATAATTAGTATCATTAGGATAGATCATTGAATCTATTTTCATAATAAACTTATTTGGAGAAACAAATGTTGCTTATATTTTCTGCAGACCTACTCAAACTTAAAAAGGTTTGACAAACATTAACACCATAGCAACCCTTAAAGGGACCGAGGGAGCATGTGCTATATATGTGCTTGCACGCTGCTAATTATTAATCAATCACCACATATTTCTTTGTTTAGTGCTTAAGCTAATTCATGATGATATACATGATCTAGCTAGATGGACATATAAATAGCTATATCACACAGGGGAAAAGCACATATATGCATGTATACATGTCTGATCTGTCTCATCCTGACCCAACAAAATTTCTAGCAGTCTAGCCAGAGTACTTACCAACAACATAGCGAAATTAATAAAGTGGACCATACGCCAACAAAGATTATTGGCAGCCCATGCACAGAGGGCAGCACACAGGTCTGTGAGATCTTGTCGTCAAGAGTTAGCTAGGGCTGGGAAAATCATGTACATAGGTCGCTTTCAAATACGAAAAAGGATGAGTAGGAGGAAGAGCAGCTAGCTTGGTCAGGAAATGATCTGATCCCGTGCGCGCATTAGTTGTGAGAAGGCGTACGTGTTCTAGGCCCGGCATAATCCAGATGAAACCCGGTGTCCTCCCGTCGAGAAAGCCGCCGCGAAACTGTAACGGCAGGCGTAGGCGTAGCTCGAACTGCGCCAGCAGATGATGCTGCCATTTTCATTCCCTCCTTCACCTTCGCATCCGCCTGCTGAGCCATCATGCGTCTAGCCTCCATCAGCTGCCTTGACAGCCAACCGTCAGCTTTCAAGCTTGTTGCTGCCGCATCCTACAGAAGGGAAACGAAACGGACTAAAATGTGCAACCGAGATGAAACACTTGTTGAAAAAATCACTATGAATCTATGATCAAGTGATGAACTGACAAGCCACGCATAATCCTCAGCGATGATGCCAACCTTGCCTGGTAGACGATGCGACTTGCTGGAGCTGCGGACCTTGCCATGGACAGGGAGACCTCGCGCCTCACATGAGCTAGCAAGGAGAACGACGATGGAGAGGAGGAGGACGGGGAGAACGGCAGTGCTGTGCTTCTTCATTAGCTGCCCTTTTGGGGCAAGAAGAGGAGAGCTTAGGGCGCCGCTAGGCATGGCAAGACAAGCTAGCTCAAGCAGTAGAATGAGAAGGAAGCAGCAGGAGAAGTGGCTATGAAGGGAGACATGAGGGAGCCAGGCGATCATCTTGATGGCCGTGCGATGTACTAGCCGAGGAATGCGCGCGCGTGTGAGGTTGTGGAGGAGGGTACAGTAGCTCGGTGAACCGCCCTTGGGAATATATACAAGTGCATGGACGCGAAGAGAAGGCGCATGGGTGAAGCCCGATGGTTCTTAAAAGCTGTTACTTGTTTTTCCCAAGTTCTATGACACACAGCTAGTAGCTAGCAATGTTTGTCTTGGTTGTGAGAACGCCGAGAAGAAACGTACCTTAGCTTGTGCCCTCACTGGCCCCACAATGTGCAGTGTTATGATTAACTACTCTTTGCTTAAATCTGGATTAGTGCCCTAAAGGCTAAGGATAGGTTTGCTCCAGCGTCCAGCCCTATTAGTTAACGTTGTCCTGGAAAAGTTGGTCACTTTCTACTTGCAAACGAAGGGGAAATATGTTACATGAGAATTGACTCTTACCTTTCTCGTTGAAGAAAAAGGGAATTCTAGTCTTCTCAATTCCCAGAGCACGTATCGTCATTCTTCACAATTTAACGATCACTTTTCGGTGCAGAGAAACAAATTAAGTACAGTCCCAAACAAGGTTTTAAATCTCCAGCTATAAGCTACTGCTATAGCCCGCTATAGCGGTTTGATACAAGTCAAAGTCCGTGCATGATTTAGCGGTTAGAGCCTGTCGTTATAGTCTCATTAGCTCTGCCGTTAGCTATTTCATGTTGGAAATAATGGCAATTTAGGGACGCATCAATTAATTCCGGCCAACGAAGAAAAGAACAACAGCATACATCATAGGTGTACGATTTAACACTAGCACTGCGATCCGAGCCAAACTCAACACCCTAATGCTAGTAACAAAAGGAACGCTAGGACGAACATTAGAGAAAGTGTAGATATTCTTACAAGAGGGGTTGTCGGCGCTAGAGATAGCGCAAGAGTGCAAGAGCGCATTTAAATGCAGACCGTCGATGGAGATCAGCAAACACCGGCGTGGGGAAGAGACGTCCAATGACGATCATGACAGCCTTCCCAAAAACATATGATACGCCTTACCCGCGCGGGGACACGAGGAGGCGAGGCTTTAAAACCTCTCCGGCGCCGATGACACATCGGCGACGGGTTGGGGAGGACGGCGGTTGCGCGGCTTAGTGGTAAAAGGAGGAGATGAATTGTCTGTACTAAAGACGATGTCTCATCGCAATACATACACGCGTCGCAGCTATGAAAAGTAATTAGCCACGCAATCACAGCACTAAGATGATTGACCTGTCGTGTTAGTCAACTATAGAGCATTAAGATGATTGCCCGTGGCCCTCACAGCCACCCCTTATGTTGTCTCAAACAGAGACCCATTATGGAACCCAAACCCAAAATGGGTCTCCAACACAATACATATAGCCTCCAACGGAGTATCTATATGAAAAACCCATTTTTTGTGCCAGGAGAGGCATAAGTCAAATCTGAGTATCCTCTCTCCTAGAGACCCATTTGCAGAAATGATTGTCTTTTAGGTCTGGTTGTTGGAGAAGATCAAAAATAGGTATTGAACTCTTTGCCTATAACACTACTCAAAGAACAAATGTGTCTTTTATTTTGTGTCACGGTCGTTGAAGACGGACTTAGCTCCGCCACTAGCTAAGAGCATTTGTGCATTTGGAAGCTGCACTGCTGAACACCACGCGCGCGTGATCTCTTTAGATTACTATATCGCTTTTTTTTTGGAATTTTTCGCACTGCTTGTCTGTGAGACTGACTATCTCCAAAGTACTAGTACTCCCAATTACGTTTACGTGCATCACATTACAGCAAGCGTGTCATTTTCTAACAAAAACATTTGAGCAAGCATGTGCATCCGAGTCATTACAGGTGGTGCGCCATCGATCCACCATATTCAGGCCTGGTTTACTTCCAAAAAATTTCATCTCAAACTATCATATCGAATCTTGTAGCACATACATGGAGTATTAAATATAGACGAAAAAAACTAATTGCACAGTTTAGTTAGAAATCGTGAGACGAATGTTTTAAGACCAATTAGTCTATGATTAGCCATAAGTGCTACAGTACTAACCTGCGCTAATGATGAATTACTTAGGTTTAATAAATTCGTCTCGCAATTTTTAGACGAGCCATGTAATTAGTTTTTTTTTATTAACATCAAAAACCCCTTCCGACGTCCCAAAACATACGATGTCACTTAAAATTTTCGTTTCGCGATCTAAACACAGCCTCAGTTACGAGCTCCGCACTCCGGAGTCCTCACCGCACAGCCATGCCATGCATGCAGCTGCGCCGAGGCGAGCACACGGAGACCCTTTTCTTGGGCCCGCTCCACGGGAAAGCCCGGGGATTTGCGCAGGCTGCCATGGGAAGAGGGCGTGCGTGGGTGGGCTTTGGGCGTGCAGGTGTCGGGGAAAGGTGCCACACGAGAGCGCGTGTACCGGACCGTCGCGCGCGCACGGGGCGGCCGGCCATCCGACCGTCCGGTGTTAGGCTCCGCCTGGTCGGCGGAGTCGGACGGCACTAGCCCTCGCCTCCAACCAAAGGAAACGTGTGTCAGATCGTCCACGGGCCGAATTTGAGTATGGGCCGATGTGATTTCTGCTGTTTACGTGACCTTTTTTTCCGTCTGTTAGCTGATGTTTCCTCCTTGTATTTTCTACCCGCTACGTAACGTGTGTTAGCCTGTTTTCAGCGCTTAGCACAGTCATCTGTATTTTCTGCCCGCTACGTAAAACAAATTTCAAAGCCTTTTCTATTGATCCGAACAAAGAACCTGAAGCCTCTAAAATTTGTAATTTTCAAATTGATGCTAAAAGCCAAATACGACCAACTTTACTCGTATCTGACATCATGGCTTTTCTTTTTGTTGTTAAGAGAGAGCTTTATTAACTAGAAAGAAATAAAATTACATTTAAATTAGATAAGGCCTTCCACGCATGCAGGCATTTTCCTTAAACATCATAGCTTTTGAGGTTTTGAAATTAAAATTCTTTCTTCTATGCTATATTTGGTTTTCCTGTTATGCCTTTTACCCTCATTTTTCAATTGAAACAAAATCATTTAAATTCATGATTCAGAATGTAGTATTTTGTCATGTAAAATTTCTCAGCATACAAGTTCAAGTGAACCCAAAATTATTAACGAAATGTATTTCAAAATTAGGTTTTATAATTAAAGTTAAACCCACTCAAAACAAGCTCAAAATTTTCAAGAATGCTCAATACAATGGACGCAGGTATGAAATATTGAGCTTTTGTTTAATGTTTTCAAATTTGATTTCAAAAATAAAAACATGATTTTAAGTTGTGCATTGTTAAGAAACTTTGGATTACACTCGAGGACGTGTGTGTTGAGAAATTACATGACATAATACTACTTTTCGAACCATGAAATTATGTAGTCTTTTCTATATTTTGCAAAAACATTTTGGAGCTAAACAATTTAAAGAAAACTCAAATATTGCATTTTGACAAGAATTTCAATTTTAAAACTACAAAAGTTATGATGCCAAATACAAGCAAAACGGGTCAACATCTATTTAGAAAATTATAAAATTTTTAGAGCATTCCATATTTCCATGTATGTTTTCTTGTAAAAATTGACACCATTAGTTTGTCGCCAGTGTTATCCTAAACACTACGGTAAGCATTCGGTCACTTGTCGTTTAGCCATTGTTTGGCCTAAACAAATAATTAAACTGGACAAACGATCAATCAAATGAAAATGATGTTCCACCGTGTAGTACTTAAATAGAGTATAAATGGCCTAAATAACTGTTTAGGCGAACAATTTTACCGCCCCACGGTGATGGCATAGGGTCATGCATGGGTGGGGAGCGAGGGTGAGGATGATGGCCTCAACTCATGGAGGAAGCGGATGCAAATCCATAGTCGCCCCTCCAATTTTATTCGACCACCTGGCCTTCAATTTGGCAGTTGGGTATCTTGCCCTCTGTCATCGTCATGGGCTGCCTCACCTCACCTCCGCTACGGCCGTGGCCTGTCTCGCTCTCCCCTTTGTGTACCATGGTCTACCTTAGCCCTTGAACCCGCCTCGGCATGAGGTTTGGCCATCTTTGTGGTAGAGAGATAAAGGATGATGATTGAGAACGTGGGAGGAAGCGAGAAGAATAATTTAAGGGGTACTCTAGTATACTTAGGATCTACTTGCACGTGTCTGATTCTAGCTCCAACATAGGAGTTGGAGAAGCCGCACCAAACATCTCAGTAAGGGTATCGTTTTTTGAGGAGACATTTTTTTTCCAGAAGAGAAGCTGCAATTTGTGGTTCTTTCTTCTGGCTCTGGCTCTTTACTTGGAAGAGGACCCGTGCCAAATAATTTCTTAAATATCTGAATAGAAAAATAAGCTTGGGGCCTTGGCCTAATAAGTGGCTAACTAATTTTTTAACTACTAATTGTTACACAACTGAAGTGCATCTAGGCCCTTTCTTTCGTTTCTCCGAGTGCAAGTACAACATATCGGGCTGGTCACTGGTGGGTGTGCATACTTCGGTCCATGCTGATGTGCACCCACTGCATAGGAGCAACGAAAACTAATTACGGTACTGTACATTCTATATGTAAAAGCAGGACAGCGAGTCGTGTCGCGTCAAGTCATACACGAGTACTCCTACTACATCGTGAATTGTCCTCCTGGAGCCGTGCCTGCCTACAGTACCTTCTTTTTTTTTGGAAAAATTAGCAGGAGCACTGCTATGTCATATAAGAAGGAAGGAAATCCAGTTTACAGCAGATAGGACTTACATTAAAGTGATCACTCGAACACAGAAACTTGAAACCAAATAAACGATATTCATGAAGGTAAATCTAGTTTCCCAGTTGCTCTACTGAAGATACCCACTTCTTCCTTGGTCAGCCTCAAAACCTGGGCCGGTGTTCGCGTTGTCCCCTCAAAGGTTCTTCGATTGTGCTCTTTCCAGATATTCCAGGCCGAGTACATCAAGATGGTTGCCGTTGTTTTTTGCTGGGTTGCTGATCTCCCGTGCATTGACTTCTCCCACCAAGTTTGCAAAGTCTGCACGTCCTCATCAATGTCCACAATATGTTCTCGAACCCAATTTTTAACAAGCACCCAAACTTCCTTTGCAAAGGGGCAGTGAATGCAAAGATGAACCGTTGTTTCCGCTTCCTGGTCACAGAGCGAGCAAACTGGATTGCAAGGCCAATGTCTCAGTGCCAATTTATCGGCCGTTAGAATTTTTGCCTGCACCAGTAGCCACGCGAAAAATTTTAGTTTTCCTTCAGCACGAGCCTTCCAAATTGAGTTCGGCGGCAGCGGCGGCGCCAAGCAACGCGACGGCCGCCTAGTCTGCCTTTTAATCCGATTTTGAGCTGCGGCAGCGAATGGGGTCAATTTTTCTCGCATGCGGCATGTCTGATGGGCAGTCGGTGGCCGGCAAGCGGCGGCAACGCGAGACGGGCCGAGTGTGACGTTGTCACGGTGCGGGCAAAGCAACGTCTAGCAAGTTTAGGGGGCAGGCCGGTGGGCACACGCACGGGTGTTGGTTGGAAGCTGGGAGCCATGGCCCATGGGCCACGGCCCATTTTATAGGTCGGCACAGGCATGTTTCCTAACTATAATATGGTGCAACAGTATAGTGAGAAAAACTTCCATACGACCAGTGAAGATAAGGGCAGTTTCGTTCTTTTGTGTTTTTATTACATACATGTCAAAAGTTAGTTCCAGGTATGTTCATACTTCAAAGTTCAAAGGATAGGTGTGTGGTTTTCTGAACATACTCAGATGGCCAAAGTGCAGTTATCTGTTCTCTATCCATATGTATGTCTGTTCACGATCTAGGTAACCAAAAACGTGCTAGTACTATATATTGTGGAAAAATGGCGAATGCAACTTCCAAACAGCAGTGAGGGTGAGGGTAGGTTTTTTTGTTACCCCTCGAACGTTAGTTTCACAACTGATAAGCTCGTGCATTGTTGGACACGTTCGGACGCGATCAGGGTGTGGAAATCTTCTACGAGTATTCTTTATCCTATTGTCTATATATTCACAATCTATTTAAGCAAAAGCATGTAACTATATGGTGTGAAAAATGATGAGCTAAACTTCCAAAGGGCAACGAGAATGAGGGTTTAATTTTTTTTTCCTGCTTATGTCTCAAAAGTTAGTTTCAGGTATGTTCAAAGAATAAGCTTGATCTTTGCTAAACATGTTAGGATCGTCACGACGAAGTCCTTTGTTCTCTATGCCTTTGTCTATTCATGATCCATATAACCAGAAGTATTGTAATGTATGAAGCAAAAAATGTATGTGAAACTTCCAAACAGCCAGTGAAGGCGATGTGTTAGAATTTATATGGTCTATTTCCTCTATGCTCATATGTAGAAATTCTAATAAATCTCAAATGTCCAATACATGTGGTCCTATGGTTTAATGTTTAAGCGCATGCGTAGAGGTGGGAGGTGCAACATCAATTAGTATCATATTGCTAGTTGATGTTGACATAGGAGGTTCTCCTCCCTATATATATTTACCAATCCTCCTGGAAAAAGACATCAAAAGCTACTTTTGGGAGTTCAATTAGTATTTTCCTCTTCTCTCTGTTGTCTATCACAGCGTTTGTGCACCGGCGTTCAGGAGAGCACCCTCGTCCTTGTGATCCTGCACCGAGAGAGGACGAATAAGGTTTTTGAGAAGCGCTCTTTCGCGCATCTGCTCCCAACTTCCACGACAGCTTCCGAAGGCTAAGTCAGGACGTCATCTCCGCAGCCAGAAGGCTCGTCGCATCTTCAATGGGAGCGTTCCTCCACCACTCGTCGATGACTTCGTACCACCATCAACAACTTCAATCGTGGTATTATGTAGTACAAAAATAGCCACTAAAACCTCCAATCGTAGGTGAGTGAGGACAAGGGCTTTCTGTTTAAATCTGAAAAGCTAGCATGGATGGTCAGGGTTGCTTATTCGGCACTCATGATATGCACTAGCATGTTCGGATGGTCAAGGTTGTCTATTCACAAGTAGTAGCTAAAACCACGGTACTCATGATATATACTAGCACGTTCGGATGGTCAGGGTTGCCTATTCACGTTCGGATGGTCAAGGTTGTCTATTTACAAGTAGTAACTAAAACCACGATACTCATGATATGCACTAGCACGTTCGAATGGTCAGAATGGTCAGAGTTGCCTATTCACAAGTATAGTAACTAGAACCAGTATACTCATGATGCCTATTCATAAAGTAGTAACTAAACCATGGTACTCGTGATATGCATTAGCCGTTCGGATTGTTAGGGTTGTCTATTCACAAGTAGTAACTGGAATCATGGTACTCATGATATGCACTAGCATGTCTGGATGGGGTTGCATATTCACAAGTACAGTAACTAGAACCACTGTACTCATGTCTTTTCATAGAACCATGGTACTCATGATATGCATTAGCATGTTCAGATGATGAAGGTTATCTATTCACAAGTAGTAACTCAGGATTGCCTATTCACGTATAGGACTGCACAACCAAATGGAATAACTGACCGTCAAAAGTTTTGGACTGCACAACCAAACGTAACATCTAACCGTCAAAAGACCCATGAACACGTACGAGGTTCACGATTTAAGTTCGCGGGAAACCAAACCAGATAAGATAAATCCATCCCCCAGCGGAAACATAGGGAAGCAAAGCAAGCGCGCGCAAAAAAACGCGAGGTTAAAAACAAAACAAAAGGCGAGGATGAGAGGGGAGAGGATGATGGATGGGGAAAGAAAGCGAGAGGAGGGCGCCCACTTTTTAACTTTTTTATGTTGCACGCATCCAGGGACCATGGCAGTGGTAGAGAGAGAAAGGGAGGGCGAGGGGAGGCCAAGAGCCAGTTTAGTTCGGCCCTTGTTTAGTTCACGAAATTTGAATTTTGGGATTATTGTAGCATTTTTGTTTTTATTTGGCAAATAGTGTTCAAACATGGACTAATTAGGCTCAAAACGTTCGTCTCGCAATTTCCCACCAAACTGTGCAATTATTTTTTCTTTTCGTCTACATTTAATGTTCCATGCACGGAGCGCAAACATTCGATGTGATAGGTACTGTAGCAACTTTTTGAAAATTGGGGTGGAACTTTATTTTGCCAAAATTTTCAAGATTCCCTGTCACATCGAATCTTTGGACCTGAAGTATTAAATATAGATAAAAAATAAAACTAATTACACAGTTTAGACGAAATCCACGAGACGAATCTTTTAAACCTAATTAGGCTATGATTAGACACTAATTACCGAATAAAAAAAAATACTACAGTAACATTTCGCCAAAAAATTTGCCAACCAAACATGCCCCAACTCCAAGGCACCGCACCACCACCCGACGAAACAAGCGAGGCAGTTCGCAGAGCAGGAGCAGGGCTGCCGCCGCAGGCAGCCGCTGAGACATCTCTCTGGACTTGAGAGGAGAGGGTAGAGTAGTAGAGTGCCATCGTTCCCAATCCCCATCCGATCGAACGGCCGCCGCCCGCCCGCTCCTTCTTCAGTTCTTCCCTCATCCACGGGCCACGCGCGCCTCCTCCTCGCCTTCCCCACGCCGCGCTGCTCCGAGCTCCGTCCGACCGTCCCCCACGCGGCCTCGCCTCCTCCTCCTCCTCCTCCGCTAACTGCTGCATGCTGCTCCATCCTCCGTCCTCCTGCCCACGGGATCGAAGAATAGCAACCGTGGGGGGACCGGCCACGAGCACTTCACGCCGGGGCGAGCGCGCCGGCGGCCGGAGTGCACGGGCTGCCTCGAGCACGCCGGCGGCAACAGGCAGGTGCAGGCACACTGCTCCTCGCTGTTCCACGGCCACGCGCACAAGCAAGCGCCGCATCGACACCACCACCACCGAGAAGGAACCGCCTCGCGCCCCAGATCTCGCCGGCAGGGGTCGCGCGCCCTAGCATGCGCGAGTAGGTACATGAGGGCGGCGCCCTTCAGTGCCGACGGGAGCGGGGCGGGGACCATAGAGGCGCTGCTTTGGCCGGACGGGAAGGGCGGCGGCGGACGGGACCTGCTGGTGGAGCCGACGTCGGTGCTCGACTGCAGACGGAGCCCGAGCCCGCCGCACTCGACATCGACGCTGTCTTCGTCCCTGTGCGGCGCCGCGGGGGACTCCTCTTCCGGCGTGGCAGCGGATTCGGAGAACAGTGCCGCCGCCGCCGAAGCCACCAAATGGGCGGCGCCAGGCGAGCACGGCGGCGGCGGCGGCGGTGGAGGCGGGAGGAAGGAGGAGTGGTCCGGTGGTGAGCTGCCACCCATACCGGGGACCCTGGACGTCGGGTTCATCGGGGAGGAGGGCTGGGACGCCATGCTCAGCGACGCCGCGGCGGTGGCCGGCCAGGACCAGACATTCCTCAACTGGATCATGACCGCGCCGGGCGACATGGAGCCGCCGGCGCCGGCGCTCCTCGGCAATGCCGCCGGCTTTGGGTTCCCGACCTCGGACCCGCTCGGGTTCTCCCTGCAGCATCACCCAGGCGGTAGCGGCGGCGCCTCGGCCGGGGCGCTGGCCTCCGACCTGTCGTCCCCCGGCGCGAGGTCGCTCACCAGCGGCAGCGGCGGCAGCAGCAGCAAGGCCACTTCCACTTTCGGCCTCCTACCAACCGAGGCGGTGCTTCAGCCGCCGCCGCTGGCCACGACCATGCCTTTCCACGACGGTGGCGACATAAAGCCCCGCTTCTTGGAGTCCCGTCGGCAAGTCTACTCTCAATCAACAACAGACGCTGCCGGCGGCCTCCTTCTTCATGCCGCTCCACACCTTTCCCGACCATCAGCACCAGCCACATCTCCCGCCCCCGCCGAAGCGCCACCACTCTATGCCCGACAACCTGTTCCTCCTCCAAAACCAGCTCCACCCGCCGCCGCCGCAGGGTCTACCATTCCCACCACTGCATACCACCGGGCCCTTCCAGCTCCAGCCATCGCTGCAACCGCCGCGGGGAGCGATGAAAACAACCCCGCGCCGCAGCAACATCAACAGCTTCTGGACGAGCTTGCTGCCGCGGCAAAGGCGGCTGAGGTCGGCAACTCCATCGGCGCGCGAGAGATATTGGCGCGGCTCAATCAGCAGCTTCCCCCAATCGGGAAGCCTTTCCTCCGCTCCGCTCCGCTTCCTACCTCAAGGAGGCCCTCCTCCTCGCGCTCACCGACGGCCACCAAGGCTCCACTCGCCTAACCTCCCCGCTCGACGTCGCCCTCAAGCTCGGTGCATACAAGTCCTTCTCCGACCTCTCGCCTGTGCTCCAGTTCGCCAATTTCACGGCCACTGAGGCGCTTCTCGACGAGATCGCCTCAACAACTTCATCTTGTATCCGCATCATTGATTTCGACCTTGGTGTTGGCGGCCAGTGGGCTTCCTTCTTGCAGGAGCTTGCACACCGCCGTGGAACTGGGAACAGCCCCCTGCCAATGTTGAAGCTCACAGCCTTCGTCTCAAGTGCTTCCCACCACCCACTTGAGCTGCATCTTACTCGGGAGAACCTCTCGCAATTTGCAGTGGACCTTGGCATTCCATTTGAGTTCACTGCCATCAATCTCGATGCATTTGATCCAGCGGAACTCATTCCTCCTACTGCCGATGAGGTTGTTGCTGTTTGCCTCCCTGTTGGTTGCTCTGCACGCACGCCACCACTTCCAATGTTGCTTCAGTTGGTGAAACAGCTTGCTCCTAAGATTGCCGTGGCTATTGACCATGGGAGTGACCGGGGTGACCTCCCATTTTCACAGCACTTCATGAATTGCTTCCAGTCTTGTATGTTGCTTCTCGACTCACTTGATGCTGCTGGCACCAATGCGGATGCTGCCAGTAAGATTGAGAGGTTTCTGATCCAACCAAGAGTGGAGGATGCTGTACTTGGGCGGCGGATAGCTGAAAAAGCAATGGCTTGGCGGGCAGTGTTTACATCGGCCGGGTTTGCTCCAGTGCCGCTCAGCAACCTTGCAGAAGCACAAGCTGACTGCCTCTTGAAGCGGGTGCAAGTCCGAGGATTCCATGTGGAGAAGTGTGGAATGGGTCTAGCACTCTACTGGCAGCGCGGCGAGCTTGTGTCTGTCTCGGCATGGCGGTGCTGATCTTACCTTCCTCATCCATCAACCATCGTCACACCTACACCACTTGCGGGCATGTTTAACTCTGGTAATATGCGTTTTGTCTTGCAATTAAAAACATTGCAAAGGAACTATTGTCTTGGTTGTTCCACACCTCTGATTGCTTTACCTATGTTGTTTTAGTATTAGCTAGGCCTAATGAATTTAGCAATCTTCGTGTGGGTGTCTCTACAATGTAACATGTTGGTCTAGGGTCTCACAATGCTGTTCTTGCTCTCTTGGTTAGCCAGAGGATAATTTGGCATATTTGTGGCAATGATGTTGGTCATTTTACTAGGTAAATCAGATGAAAACTAACATGTGAACTGAATGGTTGGGCACGTTAACTTTCTTTGCCCGATAATCCAAGATTGACTAATAGATTTCTAAAGCATGGATCACGGATCCTGCTGTTGTTGCATTACAAACTACATCATGCAAGTGGTGTTGTGGTAGTAAATAGTGGTAGAATTAATGCTCTGAAAATTCGATTGAGGCATCTGGTGATCAGATGGTGCCTTTAGTTTAAATTGCTGCTACCAGAAGTATAGTTATTTTTTATGTACTGTACCGGCCATTATCAGAATGAAGCTGATTTGCGTGTGCTAGAGGAAACACCTTTGGCTTTGGAACATTCTCCGTTCTTAGCACTTAATAATACAGTCCTGGTCCTGGATCTTATTGCTATATATCAAGCTAGATGATTTTGAAACCAAATGCTTATGATAGGGTGAGCTTTCTGTTTCTGTGAAAGAAACGGAGAATATAAAGTATGCCAATTGTATTGGCAATTGCCAAACATCTGTGTCTGAGGTATGGAACATTAGACTGTCTCCAACGAGGAACTCATATGGACACCCAAACTCAAAATGGATAGCAAGAGACCTAAAATTAGCCTCCAATAGAGAACCTATACGAAAGACCTATTTTGGGTTCATGAGAGACACGACCCAAATATGGACATCCTCTCTCTTGGAAACCTATTTGCAGAAAGGATTCTCTTTTGTGTCTTGTTGTTGGAGAAGATGTCGAATAGGTATTGACCCTTTTGTCTGTAGTACTACCAAAAGGACGAATGGGTCTTGTATTTTTGGGTCGTGTTCTTGGAGATAGCCTGGGTTCCCTGGCCATTCTGTTCTCTGCCCAATTTCCATACTAGGCTAAATAGTGAAAATATAGCATGACGAAACGACGATTCTATTTTGTTCTGACCTGTAAATGGAGTACGTATATGGTCTGAAAGTCTTCTAGACAAGAGATTGCTAGGCGCTAAAAGTCTTCTCTATTTCAAGTGGAGGACAACATGAATTCTAGACAAGCTGGAGTTGGTGGTTTTGCTTTATCTGTCCTTACTATTATTTTTATGCGTATTAGCTTTACTAGTGTGTATAAATTCAAAACAGTGCATGCTTCATATGCAAGAAGTTTGCAAGTGGCAGTTGAGGACATCGGTCAAGCAGCTGGAAATTGCATGGTTTTGTCGAGACACATACATAGGAATGGTCTGTGTATAGCGACTCCCGGCTTCCTTCTTTTTCATTCACAGGCTTTGGAAAAACTTCTTTTTCGCTGTCTGATGATTTTCTGTGATATACCATGGCGGAAATTTACTCTTCAACTATTGTTGTTGGTTGAGCTGTTACATCTGCCCTGGAAAAAAGAAAAGAGAGCAACCTACCTGCACAGCATTTCACACTGCGTCGCATTGCTCCATTGAGACCAACGCTGCTACCTGTTATCCACTTCCCAAACACAGCAATTTGCTTTGCATCTGGTATTCTGGTTATTACACACTGCTGCTGCCCAGACACAGATTTGCGCCTGCCTTGTCGTCCATATCACACCTTACTACACGCCACTGCCTGTTTAGATAAAAACATTGGTGAGCCACAGTCAAATGCTTGTCACCCTCGCAAACAAGCCAACCAACCAACGGTGTTTCTCTCTCACAACAAACAAACAGCTCCGCCCTACCAGCGCTGGTTCGGCTGTAGCGTCTGCGTACAAATCTAGGGGCCCGCCCGCTCTCCGGACCACCGCGGGACGGCGGGGCGGCAACCGGAACACCCGCGATCGAGTGGCGGGCGCGCGGCCGGCGGCCATCCCCCCACTGGGCACTGGCCGTGTGGTCCAACCGCTGTCCCTTCGCCCATAAATACTTCGCACTTGCGCTGTACCGCGCCCTGTTCGCGATTAAATTGGGGGCATCGGCAGGTTACAGTACAGCCGCGCCTTTATTTCCGATGATTGTTTCGTGGGCTTGACCTCCCTCGCTCACATGGCCCGTGTCCCCTCCCCCTGGCCTGCCTGCGTTCGTGATCTCCTGCGCTCTGATTGGCCCGGTCTCGCGGCTTAAAGAACTCCCACTCGCTCTCCCTGCTGGCACCACCAGTCTAGCGTCAGTTTCAGTAGAAGCTGCTGCTGGCTGTTTGTTTTCTCTTGAAGCTTGCAAACAAATCTAGGATTTGAAAAAAAAAAAACGCTAAAGGCTCCATGTTACAGGTGTGATGGGGGGTTGAGTTAGCTCCCCCTGTCTGCCGACGCAAAAAATACTCTCTATATATTTTTGTTAATAGGCTCCTCCGTGAGAGTAAACAAACTGCATGAGAACGTGCTATCCGATCATGAGGCTGACAGCTCCTTTTCTTTAAGCAAAGGGTGATGGCGAGTCTTGGGTAGCAGCAGCATTTGTTTAAGCTGCCATGCCACCCCTCTTGCTCCATGGTCCTACCTTTCCCTCCCGTCCCGGTGTTGCAAACCCCTCACTCCTTCCTCGCTCCCTGAGTCGCTGGGCTTTGCCTGGCGCGTGCTGCGTGCATTGCATTTGCATCTGCACTGCACCTCCTCTGCATGACACTCTGGAGGTCACCAGGCTGTGGGGTGTGTGAACTAAAGCTGCCTGCCCGCTTGCCCTGATCGCTGCTGTCTTTACTTGAGCCGAGGAGCGAGGAGTCGAGCCGAGCGCCGACCGACTCTTGAATTCTTTTAAAGCGCCCCACTGCTCCTCTGGGTCGGCGTCGCTGATCCCAACGATTCACCGGCTAGGGGTAGAGTAATGGGGGCTTGCTTTCATCTGTAACAAGACAACCTGTTCGTCCTCCTCTCCGCAGTGCATTGTACTACAACTTGTACATCAAGGTAGCAGCGCTTTAAAAAAGTTCACAGCACAGCAAGACCTGCATTTTAGGGCTCCAAATCACTCGGCCTACCAAGATCTCATACTTGATCGCCAGTTTAAAACCACGGAGCGTCGTAGCCACTCTGCAGTGATCAGTGAACGTAGGAGTACTCCCAAGACCCACTGGGGCGCGTGTATAAAACTTTCTACACTGTCAGGAGGGGAAAAAAAACCATCACTGCACCTTTCCAAAACGACCCTTCATGCGAAAGTTCTTTGAAAACTCAGGATCCATCTGCCCACGTTCTGACGCGCGCCTCGTGATGCGCGGGCGCAGCCGACGCGTCCTCATCAGCGGCAGAAGCGAGGGACCCCCACCTCTCCCGGGGCCTTGTTTTGAACATCTCCAAATTCCAAAAGTTTTTTCACTCTCTCTCCACCACATCAATTTTTGGACACATACATGGAGTATTAAATGTAGGTAAAAAAATAACTAATTACACAGTTTGGTTGTAAATTATGAGATGGATCTTTTAAGCCTAGTTAGTCCATGATCGGACAAAGTTTGCCAAATACAAACAAAACGTGCTATAATGTCCAGGTTGCAAAAATTTACAATCTAAACAAGCCCCGGAGCGGGAGGGCCGGGAGCCCAGAGGGAAGGGCATGGGCAGAGACGCAGACCGGCAGAGCGCGCGCGGGCAGCATGGCGCGCGTCCACGCCTACATGGAGCGCAAATGTTGCTGCACCTGTACAAATGGTGGAGCGGCACCATCCGGTCCTCTCGTTCTCCCAATCTCCCCTGCACGACATCGACACGGGCAGGCAGCAGCTAGGCAGGCCTGCGCTACGCTGCATCGGCCACAGCCAGTCAGCCAGGTCCCTCTACCGCGAGGCCTGAGGTGTGTGTGGTGTGTGTGTGTGTGTGTGGGGGGGGCGATTGGGTCTCCAGTCCATGTCCAAGGCGAAGGACGACAAGGACCACATCCACAGCACTGTTGCTCAACATGATTTTCATCTCATCTGTCACCTCCCACCGGTCACCGATTCGTCCCGGCGATCTTCCCCTTCCCTGTGCAGTCATGGGACTCTGGACTCGTCCTCCGCCGCACAGGCGCACAGCCCGTCTCCCGGCTGGCTCGGGGAATGCCTGTGTTGCCTTGGCGTGACGACGGCAAAAGGCGCGCGGCAAAAAAAAAAAACGCGCGAAACGGCAGAGTTTCTTTGATCGGATCGGCCGGAGGACCGCCGGGTTTTTGTTGTCATCTCGCTGCGCGCGCCGGATCGTTGGATGTCTGGACCTGCCGTTGGGTCTGGTAAGGTTGCGTCTTTCCCGTGCTCTCGCCCTTCACCTGGGTAGCGTTCAGGCATTGTTGCACTCGATGCTTTGACGCAGCAGCGCCAGCGCGGCGCGGCCCGTGCTCGGCGCACAGCGCAGGGCAGGGCAGGAACAGGCTTGGCCTGGCAGGCCCACGAGATCGCTTTCCTGCGGGGCCCAGGGCCCACATCGCAGGAGAGGAGCGCAGTGCTGGGTCCGTTCGATGCCCAGGCCCTCGCCGTTGCCGAGCCGATGATGATTGGTGTTGAGAGATCGTGGGAGGATAAAATCTTCGCGTGTCGTGCGTGCGGTGTCATCGTGCCCCACGAACCGGGCCGTCGCTTCCTTGCAGGCAGGGGCAAGGTCGCAAGGCACGGCGCGGCACGGTCCAGCCCTGTCCCTGCTACAAGCCAGAGCACGCAGGCTCGAACGTCCAGCACGTCGCTTTCTGCCTGCACCAAGCAGCGATCTTTGATCTTTCTCGTCACCGTCGTCGTCGCGTCGATGATGAGATCTGGACCATGCAGTGCATCATGCATCCGTATCCG